GAAGGCGAAACTGTCCGACTTTGGAATCTCTCGCGAGCGTCTTGACCGCACAATGACTGCGGGTGTGGGGGCTTCACTGTGGATGGCACCTGAAGTCATGCTGGGCGAGCATTACGACGACAAGGCCGATATGTTTTCCTTTGGTGTGGTGTTATCGGAGCTTGACGTCCATTCACTGCCGTACGCTCGTGTCAAGAAGGAGAATTTGGACTCAAATGGTCGGGAAATGATAGACTCAATTCTGTTACAGAAGGTGGCGCTGGGGGCTTTGCAAGTCGAATTTTCCAATCCAAAACCGAGATCGATTGGAGAAGAGAGCGCGTAATAATCACAGATAAAAATGGTCATTTCACAGAGGGTGCGTCAATTTCACAGATCGTATGTAACCTTCACAGGACATGCCTCCTTTTCACAGACCGAGGATCCCATCTGCCTCAAGGGAATTTGTTACTTAACTTCATTAACAAAACAAAAACTAAACTAGTAATAAAAAGGAAGTCACAATCCAACATTCACCGCAGTGTTATACGTACATATCGATAATCGAGATAGCGCCGCTGTTCGTGGTGTGTGCTGCTCTCACCTGCGGTTGCCTCCTGCGCCTTGCCGAAGGTGCGGGACTGTCAGCAAGGGCACCGCTAAGTCTTCGCCAACCAGTAGAAGACATTCGACCTCTAGGACGTCGCATGCGAAGACCAGACGGTGTAGTTTTGCAGAATGTTCGTTGTCTTCCGCCGCCATATCCGATTTGCAACCGCGTGTTATCACTAACCAATCTGAGATACATGCTCCGGAGTGTTCCAAGTTTGCAATACAATCGATTCGGAACCTACTGACAGCAAGAAAACGCTATACTACCTAGATACATCGGTATTCAAATATGAGGCCGATTTAGATCCTTGGGTATTACGAAGTAATTAATAAATGCGTATAACGACTATTTATAAAAAAATATGTTTTGTGTGTCGTTACGAAACGATTATTTACAAAGTCCTTGTATTCTCCACTAGCTAAAGAAACAAATGAAGTACGAGTGGAACTTTGTAAGCTCCTATGAAAACGAAGTGCAGCTAGAAGATTATCTCGACGCGCAGAAGACATGGTGTAAGAACAAGAGTCAGCTGGAGATATGCAGTGTTTGTGAATACAATCTCGACATTCACTTTATGCGCTATCGGCTTTTCATTTGCTCCGACGAAACTTGCAAGCTGTTAGGGTCGTGTAAGTGGGTCTTGAAAGCTCTGCAGTGTCAGACCACCGATAAAATCAGTGTTTTTCAAAATTCACACCACTTGTCAGTCTCACCTGCATATCGAAAGCCCGGGGATCTGAATTGCGCAATGAAGAGATACATAAGGAGCCAGGCCGAGATCGGATTGAAGCCGGCCGCAATAATGCACAAAATGGCTATTGATTTGGGGCTGCCGCAGACCAATCCTAAAACACTTCTACCAAAAGTACAGTGTATGCAACTACAGAAACAAAAGTAAAGTGGACAATGATTTCGTCGATGTGATGGTTGCAAACGCTGTTAAACATCGTTTTCGAGATGGCTGCAGCGAAACCACACCATTTACATTTGGATTTTCGCTTGATAGCAATGGAGAAGCTCTAATTGGTAAAGGAACTGAAGATAGCCCTCTAGTTGTTGGGTTTTCGACCAAATCACTGGTCAAGAGACTCGGTCGAGCATCTGAATTTATTTTTCACGTGTATGCCACTTTCAAACTTAACTAGAGGTTTCCCGGTTATAGTTATGGGTCTATCAGATATGTGGAGACAATGTCACCCTGTGGCTTTCCTTTTAGTCTCCGATCTAAAGAGTCCCCAATGGACTCGAGCAATTCGGGTATTGCTGGATTTGTATTACGACATTTCATCACAGAGTGTATCGTTTGGATTCGTGATGATTGATTCAGTTAATGCTCAACGAAATGCATTTGAAAGTGTGGCTGGTGCTATTCTCGCTTCAGATAAGCAGCCAACGTACTTGATGTGTTTCTTTCACGTGATGTCAAATGTTAGAAAACATACCGTGGGGTTCTCGGAGGCAAACAAGAGAACTGTATACAGAGATGTATACCAAATTCACTACGCGCGAACCTTGGTGGATAAACAGAGTCGCATCGACGATGCTCTGGAATCATGGAAAGTTAACACCGACTTGCAGTCATTATCCGAGTTTTTTTCGGCTCAGTGGCTGGAGGGGCGCTACAGTAAATGGCAGTGTGTGGAAACTCCGACTGGAATGGCAAAAACTAACAACCCGTGTGGAAACTTCAATTGTCAATTGAAAAACACTCATTCTATGCGCAGATTACTTCATTTGAACCCTCTTTTCATGGAGTTACTTAAAGTGAGCCAGGCAAGATCAATTTTGACAGCTACTTTTGCGACATCGACACGGGCAGCACCCCACATTATTAGAGACTTCAGAAAATTAAAGAGATAGCGACTTTTAACCATTACTAGTTCAGCTCGCATGAAAATTGCTTTTCTTCTGGAATCGGGGCACAGTATGGGAGAATTTCGTGTTCAACAACTAAAAGGATCTCCTACAGACCCTCAAAAAAAGAAAACAACTGAAGAAGAGATTGAAACCACAACTGACCACGAACTTGAAGCTGAAAAACAGTCTACTTTGGGGTGGATTGTGACAGCTGAGAGCGGACTTTGCGATTGTAGAACTATGTTAAAACTGGGCTCATGTGTTCATCTCATGGCTGTTAAAGACACACTAGGTATTTCGCTCGAAGAAAGATCCGCCCATAGATAAACCTTTCCGGATAAGAGACCCCACAAAAAACGAGGACGCCCAAAAGACGTTGGTCACGCTTTAAGTCTTTCTTAAAAAAACAGTAAAACACCATACGTCTTTGAATCTTTTGAAATTTAAGATGTTGCCAGGCTTTTAAAAGAAGTGAGCTATGAAATCTCCATTCCATGCGCTTTCCCAAAAAATCGAACGGTACCTGTTAAAATAGGTTTATCGAAGTCCTCTGTTGAGGAAGTTTTTGTCATTTCATCTTGTGCGTTTTGAGCGGCCTCCTGATATTTCACGTATGCCGCGCTAATCCGCGACACTGCAAAATTATCGGAAGGTCCATCCGTAATAGGCTCTGGATCAAAACAGGTTATTCCGCTTATAGACGAAAAAACATCACTTAAGCTTTCAGCACGGCGACGTAGGCCTCATCCGCGGTCGTTGCCCTGTCCTTGTACTTGGAAAGCATCACCGCATATTCAGCGCTTTTAATTGCAGCGTCTAACACACCCTTCAAACTACCAGAGTCGTACGCAATACTGAGGCGGACGAGCTCTTCCTTGGATGCTACTTCAAAATTTTCGTGATGAATTTATGTGTCTTTCATCCACATTGCCGGAGTCACATGGAGGAAAATCAGGATCATCAGTAGCAGCCATCATATCTCTTCGAGTCTCGACAGGGAGTGATAGCCAGGCCTCACGTAAGCCGGTACCCCCTCGTCCTACTAGCCATTTCGAATCGGCGATTTTAAGAGGTGCGCCTGTTAGCAGCTTCCGCGCTGAGGCTTGCAGTTTAGCGTAACGATTGCCATCCGTCTCTGCAAACTTCCAAACTGCTTCATGAACAAACATAATTCCGGTCTTTGTATTGAGATCTCTGAGGTAAATTCGATAATGTGATATCTAAAGGAAGATCATTCATCCTCATAGATTGCTATTGATAGTGCATTCAAGATAGCATGAGTACATGGAACATCGATTAGCGTACTTATAGGTTGTACAATTCTGCCGGCAGATATACGCGCACTGTGGCTAGCATAGTGAGACCCAGTACAAATCTGCCGGCACCTTTGACGGACACTTTGACTGGTATACTGACACCAAGTAACAATCTGCCTGTAGTCAGTAGTATAGTGGCAGCAACTACAATTCTGCCGGCAGATATACGCGCACTGTGGCTAGCATAGTGAGACCCAGTATAAATCTTTTAATCTAATACATTTTCTGTATTTGTAGCTGCCCGTGTGGATTAGAGATGCTGGAATTAATAGCTCTGACTGGAATTTACGAAGTTGAGAAAATGTGTAATATTAATAGTATATAAATAATTAAAATGGGAAGTTTGTTAATGTCCTCTTTCTCCAAATTCTAATTCATCATTGATATCTCAGCATTTCCATATGTGATTTGAGAACACAGGGTACCTTTCCATGCGCTCTGTGAAAACAACGTCCTCTCTGTGATTTGACGATTTCCATCTGTGAAAAAGTATTTTTATCATTGGAGAACTAGGCCGCGCGTGCATATCTATTGACCCAACAGAGCGACCGAGCGCAGCAGAGGCACTTTATAGACTAAAGGTGATGTTATCGAAGAAGAGAATTGTATGATCTCCAGCGCATTAATTTATCATCGATTAGCGAAAGTTTGTGGAAACGTACGGCGTGACTTGTTGGGTCCTCTTTGAAGTTGAAGTGGTAGTCAAATACTAAGTAAGGTAGTTTACAGGAAACGGGGATATCATGTACCATAGTTGATGATCCTTGCACTGTAAATGTAGGCATCCGATACCATGGCTGTCCTGAATTCAATACCGTGATAATTGGCAAGACGAAGGTTTTAGTGGCTTGTATCGAGCAGCAAATCGCAAAGGCTATGGATCACTCACAAATTTTGATGTATCCACAATTGATGCTGTGGGTATCCAGGTTCTGAAATTTACGTGACATGCTAACGTACCCTTCTTCTGCCTATTGTAGAATGATTATTGTTCTTCACTGCGTTTGACTTTCAACTCACTTTCGATTTTTCCCCAAGACTGATGAATTGACTTGTCTGGCTGATTCTAGTGCCTTTCGGTGTGCTGTCAGACACGACAGCAAACATGTACGCGATTCGGTCTCACTATACCGGAACGACTTGTGATGGCACGCCGTACAGCGTGACTGCAGACCTGCACTATGAATAAAACCTGCTCTTCTTTCGAGGGCAATGCAAGCACCATAAGCGTCGACATGGTTTCGATAGAGTGCGCGTCAGACTACGTCACAGCAATGCGAGATAAATTTGGGGCCTCCCGTACATTTTGCAGATAAACTTCCAAGATAAAATCTGCTCCACTTTCGCCTTCGGCTACGGGTCCCCCGCTTCTGGCAATTGCGAGAGCTCTTTCAACCAGACAGACAGCTACTATGTCATCGGCAGACTCAACTCCAACGGATCCACCTCAGTGAATTATTTTTCAGACGATCCCTGCCTTTCGGATTCCTGGTTTGCGACACGAAACGCAAGCCAGGAGACCCTATCGAGGCATTCGTGCGACGCCAACCAATTCAAATGGTACAGCAGCAACGACGATAAGGACAACTCTGGCCGCAACGGACTTACGTTAACACCCAATGCTCTCATCGGGGTTGGCTTTGGATTTCTCACCCTCGTGATTGTAAGCGTGACTTTCGTATTTTTCAGACGCTATTTGAAGGTAAAGAGGATTGAAGGACAGTCGAAGTGGCCGACAGGACCGTCCGAAGCTGTGAGCTTAAATAAGGTCGTGTTGCACGGCCAGCATGGACTCTGGAACGACGATGTTATCACGACAAAAAGACTACCAAGGGACAAAATTCTGGTCAAGAAGCTCATCAGTCGAGGGGCGTATGGCGAAGCTCACGCTGGATTATTCAACGGCCACCTAGTTGCCATCAAGAGGTTGCTGCCTCCTTCAAGGGGAAGCCTCGAACCTGTCAACGAATTCCTCGCGGAAGCAAAGATGACCGCTACGTTGGACCACCCTCACATCGTGACATTTACTGGCGTTGCGTGAGAGTCGCTCTCTGACCTCTGTGTCGTCCTGGAGCTCATCGAAGGCAGCGATCTCAGATAACAAATACCAAGCTTCTAAGCGCCCGGTGGGATTCGACAAGCAGAAGATCTCGATTGCGCTCAATGTTTGCCAGGCGTTGACGTATCTCCACTCGCTGTTACCCCCCATTATCCACCGAGATCTCAAGTCGAGAAATGTTCTGCTGGATGGCGACATGAAGGCGAAGCTATCGGACTTTGGAATCTCCCGCGAGCGTCTTGATCGCACTATGACTGCTTGTGTGGGCACATTACTCTGGATGGCCCCAGAGGAGAGAGATACGACGTCAAGGCCGACATGTTTTCGTTCGGTGTCGTCTTGTCGGAGTTGGATGTTCATACGATGCCGTACGCAAGCGTTTCGAGAGAGAGCTTGGTCTCGAACGGGCGTAAGATAGGCGTGGCTCTGTTCCAGAAAATAGCATTAGGAACAGTACAGGTTGAATTTTCGGATTCTAGTCCGCGATGCATTGTGGAACTTGGACGTGCATGCATGAGAATCGATCCAACTGCGCGACCGAGCGCCGCTGAGGCGATGTACATGCTTCAAGTTATCATAGCCCGCATTGAATAGGAAGAAAGTACTCGCGTTCTGGAGCTACAGGTATTTTCGCAACACGTCAAATTTAGTGCATATTATTCAGGTTCACTTGCACGTAATACATGCAGATAGCTTAAGTTTTTGATATCTGGACTACTATCAGAAACAAAAGTTCCGTGGAGGTCCAGAACTGTAGTATTACAGTGACTCTTCGTTTTTCCACTGACACAAAGTATCTATCCGCCATGTTTTCGGATTTCATACGGAAAATTACCAAAACGACCATGTGCTTGCTGGTGGGAGCTCTTGCTGGCATGAATGGTGTAATAAAAGTACCAGCTGGAGGGAAAGTCATATGCTTCACGTGACGACGCTAACAATTCTTTCTTTCCACTCCAGACTTGGTTGTGGCGAGAGCTACTGCTGTTAGCAGGGGCTTGGCACAGTAGTACCGATAAGCCAAGGTGACAGCCAAGATGTACTCGGTTTCTTCTGCTTACTTGGGTGACGGATGTGACGGCACTCCGTACCTCGTTAGCATAACGGAAGATAAGAACTGCACTTCTAGTTCATGTGAAGTGCTCGGCACGTTTGAATCAAGACCTTTTAACGCTAACATGGTGACAAGTGAATGCTCGACGGACTACCTACAGACCACGCGTGACAAATTTGGAAGCTCGCCTTATTTGATTCAACTACTTTATTCTGACGAGAACTGCTCCAATCTCATTATGGGCTTTGGATACCCTGCCACTGGGTCGTGTGTTGGAGCTTACAACGAATCCGACAGTCTCTATGTCATCGCCAACCTCAACGAGAATGGATCAGCTTTGTATCAGGAATTTCTCGCGCGGACTTGCTTTTTCGAGCAGCTTTACATGACAGAACACATCGACGCGAACACTATCGCTGGTCACTCGTGCGACGTTAACTGGTTCCGATGGTACAGTAGTAACGACGGCGAAAGTGTAGTGGGAAAAAAGATTCAACAGCAACGCGAAGTCCAGAAGAAGGTCTCAACACCGACAGCATCATTGGAATTGCTCTCGGTGTAGCAGCGTTATCAACAATGCTCTTGATCGCACTTCTGGCTTACTCACATCGATTGAAGCGCCAAGAGAAAGAAACAACATTGCACTCCACTCGAATAACCGCGCTAGAAGCAGCTAGTCAAGGGCAATCAGGTCTGTGGACTGACCATGTCATCACGTCGAAGAGAATTCCACGAGATAAAGTCGTGACGCTGGAACGCATCAGCAATGGAGCGTTCGGTGTGGTGTATGCCGGCGTCTATAACGGACGGGAAGTTGCGATTAAGATGCTTCTTCCTGCCAGTCGCGAGAAACTGCATCGAGTTAACGAGTTCCTGGCTGAGGCTAAAATGACTGCGACGATGGATCACCCTCATATTGTCTCCTTTGTTGGCGTCGCATGGGACTCCCTATCGGATCTCTGTGTTGTCCTTGAATTCATGGGCGGTGGAGAACTCCGTACACTACTGAACAAGTTCGAAGAGGACAACCATCATGTCGGGTTGGATCGACAGAAACTCAGCATTGCGCTCCAAGTCTGCCACGCCCTTTCCTATCTCCACTCGATGATGCCGTCAGTCATTCATCGAGATCTCAAGTCCCGCAACATTTTACTAGATAGCGAGATGAACGCGAAGCTGTCGGACTTTGGAATTTCTCGAGAACGACTCGGCCGCACTATGACTGCAGGAGTTGGGACTTCTCTGTGGATGGCACCCGAGGTGATGCTAGGCGAGCGCTACGACGACAAAGTGGACATGTTTTCCTTCGGTGTGGTGCTGTCGGAGCTCGATATGCATTCACGACCGTATACCCGAGTGAAGAAGGAGAACTTGGACTCAAATGGCCGTGCAATGACCGAATCTGTGCTTCTCCAGAAAGTGGCGCTAGGACAAGTGCAGGTTGAATTCTCCAAGGCAAGTCCAAGGGCGGTGGTTGATCTTGGTCGAGCTTGCATAGCAATAGACCCAACTCAACGTCCAAGTGCAGCCGAGGCCTTGTATAGACTGCAGACCGTTTTAGCGCGGAAGGTATGTAGAAAAATGTAACTTGAATGCATGTCAATCGGTGTTATTATTTAGCATGCCAAAGATGGTAAACCAAAGATAGTGGCTCGAATATCATAAAAGCCGATCATGCCCGGTCCATATGATGCATTTAGATTTACAGCCGCTCAGATCGTTCTTGTCCAAGTTCGGTTGAGTTTCATATGGCTGTCAATTCTTGGCGGTGGGTAGACTGCTGGTTTCAGCCTTTTTAAAGCCCATGCCAGAAACTTCGCCCCTCGTCTGGTCAATTCAGTCTCGATTTGCCTGATTCTTTCTGTAAGATGGAGCCCGATGCTTCGTCGAGTGCTGCTAACGGGCTTAGTGGCGCTGGCAGCGGCGGTGACAAGTGCAAACAAGATGTTCGCCATACAGGCCACTTACCTAGGGGACCAATGTGGTGGCACCCCGTACGCTATCACGGTCTACGAGGATGAAAACTGTACCGCCACAGCGTGTGATTCGTACGACCTCGACTATGGTTCTCGTGCTATCAACGCCAATATGATGACGAATGATTGCTCCTCGAACTACAGCGAGCTCCTGCTGATCATGCGAGACAAGTTCGGCAACTCCCCGTACCTGCTTCAGAAACTTCACATCGACGAGAACTGTACCGAGTTCGCAATGGCTTTCGGGTACCCAGCAATGGGTGCCTGTGTCGGTGCTTACAACGAGTCTGATGGCCTGTACGCCGTTGCGAGTCTCAACACGAACGGCTCGGCGTCTCTCAAATTGTACCTCGAGAGAACGTGCTTTGCCAACCAACAGTACATGGCGACGTTCGTGTCTCAAGAGGAACTCGCGACGCATTCGTGTACTATCGATTGGTCTCGATGGTACAGTAGTAACGACGCCAAGGCCACGGCAGCTTCGGAACAAGGAAATACCAGGAGTACTCTTAGCTCGGGGGCTCTTGCAGGTATTGGATTAGGAGGTTTTGGCTTTGCAGTAGTGCTTGTTGTCGCTGTCATTGCTCGCAGACGTCAAGCTCGATCTCGAGCACTAGACAGGCAGGATCACTTCGAGTCAAGTATGACCCCTACAACCGTTGACTCGCTCGAGCAGGTTCTTCGAGGACAAACGGGATTGTGGAACGACGACGTCATTACAGCTAAGCGTATCCCGAGGGATAAAGTGCAGACTGAGAAGCTCATTAGTCGTGGGTCGTATGGTGAGGTGTACGCTGGAACGTACAATGAACGGAAAGTCGCAGTCAAGATGTTGCTCCCTGCCATGCGGGGCAGGATCCAACATGTCAAAGATTTCTTAGCAGAAGCCAAGATGACGGCAACGATGGACCACCCGCATGTTGTAGCTTTCATTGGCGTCGCGTGGGACTCATTGTCGGACATTTGCGTCGTTCTCGAGTACATGGACGGAGGAGAGTTACGAGCGTTGCTGGACAGGTACGAGAAGGACAAACACCCGATCGGATTCACCAGAGAGAAGACGACAATTGCACTGGAAGTCTGCCACGCCCTGACTTATCTTCACTCCCTGTCACCGTCGATTATCCACAGAGATCTCAAGTCGAGGAATATTTTATTAAGCAGTGATATGAAGGCGAAGCTTTCGGACTTTGGAATATCTCGAGAACGACTCGACAAAACTATGACTGCTGGCGTTGGGACTTCTCTCTGGATGGCGCCCGAAGTAATGCTTGGCGAACGCTACGATGACAAAGCGGATGTGTTCTCTTTCGGGGTGGTGCTGTCTGAGTTGGACGTCCACTCGTTACCATACGCTAAAGCGAAGAAAGAGAATTTAGACGCGAAGGGCAACCCCATACCCGACTCAATCTTGCTACAGCGAGTGGCGTTGGGCATCGTGAAAGTCGAGTTTTCTGATGCTTGTCCGGAGGCGATAGTAGAGCTTGGTCGAGTGTGCACATCGGTGTATCCGACAGAGCGCCCCACTGCAGCAGAGGCACTGTACAAGCTCCAACTGATTCTTTCGTTAAAAAAACCTTCTCGGACTCAATCGGCTACAGAAGTAAATTAATTAACCAGAAATCATGTGAAGAGCTCGGGAACTCAAGTACAGATATCTTGGTCGCTCTGCCAAGTGGATGAGTTCATACTTCAGAGTAGTATTAATACAGTCTGCACCGCCTAAAGGGACTCTTAATGATATTTTTTGTGAGACGTTGACCTGAACTGCCCCGTGACGCGAATGCGTGATGGGATTCAAGAGAATTGAACAGTAATGGCTTGCAAGCACCTTAAATGTTTGTGCGTGGTACTTCGAACAAGAACGTACCAACAAAATGCCTTTCTTTGCTGTGATCCACTGGTTGAGTCTGGTGTAACCTCGAAGCCCTCGCAGCACCCTTCCAGCGAAT